TATCCGCGTTATAAAGTATAACGTCACCACCGGGCACATCGTGCTCTACATACTCCGCTTGGAGCGAGATGTTTTCGTGCGATCTCCAAGAAGCTACCACAGCCCAGGCTGGCATAATAACATTTTTCAGAGATCTCGTAAAATAATTCTCACGCAAAATTAATTATACTTCCAACGTGTAATGCGACTAGATTGCGGCATGGAATATTCTCTGGTATCAACTTAGCTTCCGTCAGTTCAGCTTCCTTTTTACGCGAGTAAAGAATTTAACCTAGATTTCGTTGATACTATTTAATTCTTCGTACGGTGCTAATTTTACATTGAGATGGACTGCACAAATGTCACGTTATCTCAGATATTACGTTTGTTCTAATTGAATCGTCATTCTTAGTATACTTATTCTTGAGCATATTTAAAGTGCAATATAACTAATTATTATTTATTTAAATCTTATATCAAAGTAATTTTTAATAACGGTAAAGCATTGTTATTTGTGCACCAGATTATAAGTATGTGTCTCTATTTAAATACTAGTTAATTAATAGTTAATTAAATAGTTAATTAAACAATAAGATGGAATAAAATCGGACAAAGGAATTCGAGAATAATATATAGTTGACCGAACTTGCGAACTTATTTATTTATATTCACGGTACACAGCACAAGGCTTATTAGCGACTCGCTAACTATTCCTAACGACTCTTTCGCACCGGGTCTCTCGACGCTCGCTTCTCAAAGACGCACATATACACATATATACACACACTGCACGCGAGACATTTGTCTCGAGAGGACTCGCAAATGTTGCGTTATCATAATTGCTTTTTATTTATTCTAGCTGTAAACTGGATCATGTACTGTTAACAAATGAGAAAAATCTCATTACGCAATGCATGTTTACACTTACAATATTTTATTACAAAAATAATATAAAACAAGTACAAACAATTTATTATAAAATAAGTATGCATATTGGGTGAATGTATACATTTTTATCTATATCAGAGATACTTGCCAGTACCTCAATTAAGAATACATTGAGCGAAGTATTAACGACTTGTGAGATGAACTTATTCCTGGATTATCCGATTATTGAAAAGAATATTATGTCATAGAAATATCTTCTCTGATATTTCTATGACGTAATATTGTAATACGATATCGAATATTATTACGAATCAAAATAAGATCAAATTGAATTGAATCAGATCCGCGATGCGACAAAGAATGTGGTGCGCATCATTTTAGCCGCGAAATACGTATTTGTAACGTCAGTTGAATAAAACCCATAAATGTCCAGTTTGAAGACAATCTCACAGATTTTTTTTTTAACTCGGTCATCCGTGTCACTCACGCGTGCTATATATACGGCTGCGTCCGAATGCGATATCCGAAAAAAAAAAAGGAAAAAAGCTCGCACGTAATCGCTTGCAAACATATTCGACGTTCGATAGTTTCGCAATCGCTATGTACGGGACGACCGTACTTCGGGAGGGCTTTACGTTCGGTTGCGACGCAACGCGAGCTGCATTACCGAACCGGAGAGCTCGCCGCCGCAGTATCTCTCTCCTCCGAGGGATTCATTCGACGCGCGAAATTGCGCCGTTGCGCACGAGAAACGGAACGATCCGCGACGATTTTATTACACGGCACTAAAACCCAGTAGATTACCTTTACAAAGTTACCGATCGAAACTGGCCCCTTTACGCGGACAGTGGATTGCTCCAAAAATTCGACGCTCTCGTTGTGATATTAATTTTTGCGATATCGAGAAATCTAGCTCCACCGACGCGACGCGTCCTATTTTCCCTCTATTTGAAAATTAAATTAAAAAGCTTTCTTATCTCAAAATAATACACGATGTAATTTAAGATAATAAGTAAATCTCTCCGTTACTTGCGCAACAATCTGACCTATAATATCTTTTAAGGAACAAAAAAATTACGCGGACTGTATAGAGTTAATTTAAGTCCTAAAATACATCTCAGAGAATTGAAGCTTTTTCTTTTATCTAAAAATTGCACGTGATGTAATTTAGAATAATAAGTGAATCTCTTTGTTCTTTGCACAATCTGATGTACGGTATGACATTTTCTCTAAGCAACAAGAAAGTTACGCGGAATGTATGAGGTCATCTTAAGTCCCAAGAGCGCATCTCAGTCAGAGGGTTATAATTTTACTGTCATTGCACTTGTGACCTCGCTCGTTCAGTCGAGCTCGAATAGAAAGACCGTTTGCCTAACAAAAGGCGTTGATTCGTGCCATCAAGAAAGTAATTTCGAGATTTGTGTTAGAAATTTCGGCGGATAGGGAGAAAGAATTCGGTGACTAACCGAAATAGTCGAGACAAATTTAGCGAAAAATTGCGAACGGTGGTTATGGCGAGCGCGGCACGGCGGAGAAGATCTCCACTTCGAAAACTTCAATCTCCGCTAATTTCTCCGATGATCCTGCTGAAGCTGAAAACCCGACGCGGAAACTTTTTCTACCGAAAAGACGATCTCGCAGCTTCCATTAATCGAACCGAAGGGAATGCGAAATTTTCTGACTCGGGAGACGCATTGTCGGTTGAGATCGCGCGGTAAGCGCGTTAAATTATATCGCGTGACGTTGCAATTCCAAAGAATGAATAAGTAGGAACGGTGAGCATCCCTCGGAAAATTTAATATAATCATAAATTTAGATGTATGAGATCGTAAACACGGAAGAAATTGCTACCGGGGATTTCAATTACGAACGGTAGCCAAAGTTTCCGCTTGAAGAGTTAGCATTCAGCGAGAGATCGGGTCGCGTTAATTTCTCCAATTCCCGGGTTGCCCAGGTAAAATCGCTCATATCGGAGCGCGCGCGCGCGCGAGCTATCGCGGTGAATCGAAATCCCCACGTACACCACCGCCGTCCGCGTAATTGGTCCAGATGCGGAGCAGACGAGACGAGGTGGAGGGTAGGAGGGGTAAAGGGCGAAATTCCGCGCGGGACAGCTGCCATTAGAAGGGCAAGCGGGCGACGGTGGATGGGAACGAGCGGGTTTTCATAATACGATTCGAGATTCGAGACGGCATGGCACGGCACGGACCTCCCCTCGTCACGAAGTTACCCCCGCGGATGTGTGCGACAGGACCAGCAGCGTGCGGATCTCCTCCGTGCTCTCTTCGAGGCATCGCTCTCCTACGTCCTACGTCTCTACGTGCTTGCCTCGCTTCGCGTCTTGTCTACTCGGCGCTGATTTGATTTCGATATCCCGCTGTTCATCCCCGCAGGGGATTCGCCCGCGTAGTCGCTTCCAGGTGTTCGTTTCCTATGAAAGGAAAAGAAATGACGGCGGAATCGCTGCACCCTTTGTGTCCCGTCCCGTAGATTAGAAACGAAATTACGCCGACCTCTTCGATATATGTATAATCTAATATTTCTATTTGTTTCGATCGTGACACCTCCGGCATTAAAGTGTCTTAGGCTATTGATGATTCGATACAATTGTACTTATCTATTTATCTATTTTTATCTATTTATTTTATTGATTATATATTTAAGGTAATTATTATTTTTATTTCATTTAGCTTCGTTTTTGTTTCATAAAAATGCTAAAGAGAAATTGAGAGACTCACAAAGAAAGAGCCATAAACGCTAGATACTTATCTGTTTTTTTTTTAACCTTAATTAATGAAATCACATCGCAGTTATTGTAATATTCTTAACATTAATTAAAGATAGATAAAGATTTTTTTTTTCTACGTTTCTGTATATTTATAATTTTTATTTTTAAAAAGCAAAGCATTGATTAATTATATTTAGATTGACATGGAGAAAATGTAAAAATTATTTATATTCTACAGAACTTATGCATTTTTCTTCCAAGGAAGAAAATAAATAGAAACAAGCGATATTTCGCACCTACCTAAAGTTTAAAAAAAGTTTCTACGAACTACGCAGAGGATAAGCTTCTCAGACCGCAGTGAACGCCTTGTGCGTATACTTGGATCTTTTTAACGTTATCATGACCCTTCTAATCTTTTTTCACTTTTCCATTAAGAAAGTTCCAAGATTTATTTCTTTGCTAAAAAATAAAAAAAAAAAGAAGGATCTTTCCGGCGGAAAGAAATCGACGGGGATAGCGGGGAAGTTCGTGTCTTTTCATTTTCTTCGCGGATGCTTTATTTAAATCTTGGGCGCAACTTCGCTAATTTCTCCCGACCGTCATTCAATAGTAGCTTGTTTACTCGGTCTTGCATTCGATATCTTGCCCGATTTCCCAGGAGCATCCGCCTCTCTAAAAACCACCGCGCGTGAAAAGAACGGATCGAAAACTTTCCCAACGAATCGTAGATCCCCTCTTATGCAGACGGCATTGAAAACTCCTAGGTAAGCTGATTACAGGGAGACTCGTCGCTACCAAAAAATACTTTAATGGCGGATATTTCGATGAATTTGAAATAAATGTTTCTTTATCAAGAATTTTCATGAAAAATTTAATCGTGAGGAGATATATCTCTTGACATAATAAGTAAAATTACTCGGCGTGTTTAAATTATGATAAAGATTAATTCTAAATTTAAATTTTAAGATTCGTCTTTCTCTTGTAATTGGAAAGTGACAATTATACATTTGTTATAATTGTTATCATTTTTTTTTTTCAAATTTTTACATCTGGAGAGGAGTAAAATTGCATAATTTTAATAAATCACAGGAACATAATGAGTCCTTTCATTTTTCGCGGCGGTTTAATTCCATTTTCTTGATTTATTAAAATCACAAGGAAAAAACTCTTGATTTATTAAAATTGCATAATTTGATTCCTTTCGAAACGTAAAAATTTTACAGAAAGTAATGTAGAAGCTGAATATATGCGTGTATGTACGTGTGTGGTATGTGTGTGTGTGTGTGTGTGTGGGGGGGGGGGGGGGGACCGATACATGTATATCGCGAGCGACGCGACGCGGCGGTTGCAACAAGAGTGAAGACTGAAGAGAAGATACGCCGGTCGCGCGGTCGCCGGTCGTCGGTCTTTTGTTCGATCGTGTTGTATTTGTTTTTGAGAGAGCGAAGCGTCTCAAGCGTCTGCCCGAGTCACAGTAGTCACACACAGAGGCCGTATTGCTCTCTGACAAGAGGCATGAGCTAATAAAAATTTAAGAAGAAGTCTGCCCGAGCCGAGTGCGAGTAGTGCGAGGTCAGTGCGAAGTGCGAGTCACAGACCACAGTCAGTCGATGACAGGATTGCCAGAAAAGGTATATCCCTTGACTAAAATAAATTAAGTATATTACAATTATTCCTGCGAGAGTGTATTTTTCTTTTACAGTAATAATAATAATAAATTAATGTACATAGATACTTTCACGATTAAAGCAAATTTTATTTCAATGTGCGCAGATAGCCGAGTTATCGCAATCAATTTTTAGGAGTGTTCCACATTTATTTTACTGTGAACTGTATGTTTTGTAGTGAATCAAGAAATCGGTGCTACGTCACATGACCGCGGCCCGCGACCGTTGCATATTTGTTTTTTCTGCGTACTGTTGCGCGCACTCGGTCGATGTCGACGCCCTATCACTCGCTCACTGAGACTGTGACTCGAGCGGGCAGGTAGCTACGTGAGTATTATTTCTCGAAACGCAATCGCGACAAGTATCGTACGATTTCAAATGCTATTATTAACCTGCGCGATTAACTAATTTCCACAATTATCGAGATAACCTCATCGTGAGCACATCGAGGTTACGGCTTTAAAGCGTCGTCTACAATGGCAGCAGAAGTATGCAGTAAGACATAAACAGTAAGTTATATTGACCAACCACAGTCGGCACAGTCAACACATTATTCTGAATTGTAAAGGCTCAGTCACAATGAGAGAAATAAGGAATAAGATAAAGGAATTAGGAATAAGGCATGTTGCATCTCACTTTAATGTACGTGTACTGAAGTGAGATGCGACATTCCCTTATTCCTTATTCCTTTATCTTATTCCTTATTCCTCTCATTGTGACTGAGCCCTAAAAATCCCATTAGTTAATAACTTACTGCTTACGTCTTACTGCATACTCTTGCGGCTATTGTAGACGAGCCATAACATTGCATCTTGAAACAGATATTTTACTCAATTTATTCATCTGTCCGCTGTTTTCGAATTGAAAAATATATGAATAAATAATCAGTGAACTATATTACTGGAATGTGAACTCCCATGCTAGCACCCGGGCCACGAGAAGAAAAAGACAGAATGGTTGCTTTGCGACTCTGTCTCTGTTTATTTATTATATGTATAGTTTATTAGGAATAATATATCCGAATTGTCGATTTAAGTGGCTTAATAATAAATAATCGCGTGCTGTTAATTGAAAGTACCGTTCAAAGTGCGATTGTTTTATATTTCAGAGGCCCTCTAATTAATGCGCTTGCAATTGTAATTAAAAGAAAAATTTATTTTGCAAATAGTGTTTGCTACAACAAAGGAGTCTGGGAAAAGAAGGAGGAAATATTAGAAGATTCGGACGACGCAACCACAGAGACAATCACGAAATAAGTAATTTATTTATTATTTTATTATCACGTATACGAATTAAATAATCGCTAATAATTATTTTATACACGCAATATTATTTATTGAAATATTCATTATGTTTAATTATGCACGCGTATTACAATTTGAATATGTTTATGTAATATGTCAATGTAATTCATATTTGAACTTCGTATATGAGTCAAATTTTTTTATTTTAATTTAAAGAGTAATGGATCTGTGAAACTAATAAATAGATGTATTACTTTAAAATGTGAGCTAAAAGACACCAGTATTAATATATATTTAATCCTAGATTAAGTGTAATAGCTTATTGTGCACGCGCATTCTCATATGAAGCTAAAATGAAATTCATTATATTGACGCATTGTTTATTACGATCCCCGAAAGCAAATGATTAATCCTTATCAATAATAGGTTATATTATCAACATTTAATTAGGGAGGTCTCTATACTTTTCATGTTTTTACATTCTTTTAAGTGTCCGATCATCTGGAATCTTCCAACATAGAGGGCATGAAGTATGAGAATATTTATCGCGACGTCCGCTTGCCCATAGCACGTGCAGCCGTAGCATACATCACCCCTCCGCACGCTATACTCTGTCCTAACAGTGGTTTTGACCCTGAAAAGATAATAGTGACGGCCATTTGTTGGACACTAGGAAAACGACCAACAAGCATACCCGAGTACCCAATCGTGTTGTACAACCAATCTGTGATATCCAAAACAATAGACATGATAAAAAACGTTCACTCTGATCAGATCCTAGTCTTTCTTGGCATGGCAGGACTGATGACTATCGCCAAAAAGCTCGGATCCGACATGGATGCAAATGGTGAATACCTCATCAATAGATGGCAAGATGTTTGTAGCGCAACCGAAATAGAAAACATCTTCATATCGAGTGTTGTTTCGCGGGAGCGATACATGACCTTTATTAGAACATTAGAGATTTGGCAGATTGGGATTGAATCGAGACCTGCACTCTACAGAAGCCTTCTTGTTGCCGCCCTGGACTGTCCGGAAGAATCTCCTATGCTTGTGAAAACTGCGATGGCTAAAGTAAAAATAGAGATTCAATATTTCGGCATGGAGATGATACTAAAGATGGATGCCTTTGTGTCTTTACAAAATATAAATGTAAATAAAGCCATCTTCCTCCCGGATATCGCACAACAAGCTGCGGATCTCAGAAGAGCTATGGACGAGTTACGTACAAGATATGGAGATCGTTTCCCATATTTGGAAATTTACAGGCTCAAAGGAAGCGATCGCCTCAATTGTAGCAAATACCCAGACCTTTTCTATGCGGTTGTTGCGACCGAAGTTGCCAACAAAAAGACAATCCCTGATAGCGTAAGGCATATTTTGATAGATTTGCAGACTCGTACCGATAGACATATCATAGATGCTGAAGTAGATAAAACGCTGAAATTCGAGATCCTTGATCTTGATGAGGTAACTACCGCCAATCTCCGTTTCCTTAATATTGAGTCGCGTCTCTTCTGTAAGCGTCGAGAAAAAAATGATGACAACGAGATACTATTGAAGGGCCGAAAGATTAAATAAATGCAGAAACTTATTAACATCTTGTTATACGATAAAATATCAACTAATTGCGAGATATATCAGTTGCTTGAAATTTATAGGATAATCTCATAAGTATGAATAATAAAAATAACAGAAGATGTATCAGCCAGAGCGATTATTTATTTTTACATAAGTTCGATGGAAAGTAATAAGTGATGATAGGATGATTTTCGCGAAAGAGATATTATGTCTCCAAATTTATAGTAAGAATATTTCTTTTACATTTTTTACCAAGCATGATCTTTTACATATAGATAAGATTTTCAAGAAATTTGAAATGCCATGAAGATATGATATGTTAATAACATTATTTGGACAATTTTAGTATCAAATGCATTATAGTAGATTAAATTTTGCTGTTTATTTTAATTAACGAGCCCGTTTTGTTAGTTAAATATTTAAAAAAGAGAAAAATAAGTAAAATAGAACCATAAAAAATAAAGTAGTAATATTTTTAATACATGATACTTTTATCTAAACTTTTTCATGGAGTTTTTATTTCATGAACGATGAAAATCGAAATAAGATATTTCTGTATTCTATATATGTTTATGTCAAATGAGAAAATAAATTAGTACCTATTGTTTTACATTAAACGCTTCATTAAGAAAAAACGATTAATAAATATATTACTTTAGTTTTTTTTTTTTTTAAATATTTTTTAAATATTATTTTATAGGATTAGATATCTGCATTTGGCCTCATTTTATATCTTTCCGGATTAATGATTTTATTTTCGAATAGGGAGCAATGTTGTAAGATTTAAATCAAAGTTTTAAATCGGTATCTGGCAATAATTATGGGATATGAAACATGTGTATATCAGTAATAAATTTGTAACTGCTTTGCAAACACGAGCCAGACTTTGTTTATTAATAAATTTTATACTAAGCAATAGGCTTTATAGACTATAAAGGTTTATATTTTTTAATTGATCCCAAAACTTGCTTTGCACACTTGCTGAAATTTATTAGCATTAGCTTTACTGGTAAAAAACATAAGAACGTTGATCCCCTCGATCCAAACTGAAAATAATCGATTCAACGAGATGAATCAATATTTTAAGAATCGGTAAAGAATCAACTTTTTATTATAAAAAAGAATTGATTCTCGATGAATCGATTAAGAATCAGGCACCACTAATGGGAAGAAACGCAAGACACGGACAAATTTTGGATCAAAGTAACAAATTATCGAGATGCTAGTGGACAAAATCCTTTCGATTAATCGATTTACCCTTTAAAGTTATGTCTTAAAAGAAAATAGATATTTTTAGATTTTCTGGTGAATAATTGGAAATTTCTAGAGGTTTCTGAATTCTGATTTTGAGTTCAGAGATGTATTCCATAAGCGAGTTGGCCACACTGCACTAAAGTAGTTCGATTTCAAACCCAGCACATCGGCTTTTGTCTGCGCTGGATATCAGTCGTGCAACGTGACTCGAGCGAGTGGATAGCTCTGTATTGTCATCGACGATCACTTATCGTATTATTTCTCAAAACACAATTGTAACAAGTAAGATTCTAAATGCTATTATTATTAATTTTGATTAGTATTACATTATCCGAATTTTTATTATTAGTGTATTCGCTTTTAATATTGGTCAAATCGAATCAAGTGCATGAGTACTGTTAAGAGGATCCTATAGTGGCAGTAATTACGACATTTTTTTATTAGGAGAAATCTTTCAGTTGGCTTTACAGAATTAAAATACGTACAAAAATCGAGTGCCACACGAGTTCATATCAAAAATGGAAAAAAATTGAAAATTTTACTTAATTTGAGCACAAACAGCTATCACCTGATGACAATACAATATTTTGATCTTTCATAGTTCATCCATCCGTCTCAACAACTATAATCAACGATCGAGCATTCGTTCGAAAATTGTCTATAACATACTACTTCGGTGCCGAAGAAAATTCGGACGGATTATCGATTTCCCATAGAGTTTTACTGGCACGAGACATGGTCGCTAAACAAAATAGAGCGCGAGCACTGATACGCAACAAGAATACGTGCCGCCACCGTGCTCGCTGTTACTCGCGGCCAAGCCAAGATCCTTTTGATTTATGGAATACTTGCAGCGAGTCAAGATCGTCTTGATTTATGGAACGTTTCAACAGCGGCCGCACGTACCCCGCGCGTAACACCGTCGACGTTTACACACGTCTCGAACCCAAAGTCGGTTATCGAGTAATAAAACACGTCTCAGTCGTGAAATTTCACAAAATAGCACCGCGAAACGCGAATAAAATCGATGTTATTATTCCTCTGTTGATCGAATACGGTGCATTCGAAAGCCATATTTGTACGTGCGGCAAGAAGGTTGAATGATGTCGAGGATTAAAGCCTCGTAGAAGAACATTAGGATTAGAATTTCATTTTTGTGCAGATGCCCAGAGAATGGAAGATAAATGATTATTAAATAATTTATAGTACCGTGCGGTATAGCGAAAAGTTTTTAATCTCTCTCGTATCTATGAAATGAAAAATCTGTGCGTTCTAAAATAATAACGGAGACCACTGAAAAGGTCCCGTTATATTGCAAAACCGTGCGAATAGTTTAAATATTACAAAATTTTGGCAGGATGTAATATCGTGTCACAATTTTCCAACAAAATATACTTTCCCACGTGCTTGTTCAATAATTGTACAATAGTTAAATGAAAATCTGTACGAAAAATGTTTCAAAATCGCGCGAATAGTTTAAATATTACAAAAATATTCAGGGAGCGCAAAACCGCAACTGCACGCGTCTGTTTGCACGGAACAAAGCCAACAATAATAACAACTGCGGCTGGCACGTAATGTTTCAGTAATTACTTGGGGAGCACCTCTGTAAGGAGCATACCTCCGCCGTTTTGTCGCTATAACCATCGACCGCTGGCAGCAGTCGAGAACAAATACAGATAAAGTTCAGCCTGATTTTACTAGTTTGCAACATAATGCAGATCGAAAGTGTATAGGGTTACCACGTTAAATCCTTGTATCGTAGAGCTAACGTCACGTGTTTCTGAAAGGTCTCAAGAGAAATATGCAAATATACCTTGGGTCCGTATTCTTTAAATAACAAATAAGAATTTATCATAAATAGGAATGCCAATGAAAAAGAAGGCTATTCGTTAATAATAAAAACAGACTTTCGTATCTTTTAGACCGTTCGTCACATTTCTTAAATACCTTTATTGTCCGATCACTATGGATGACTTAGGGAGAGATTTGAAAGACGCCAATAAACTCCCAAATGCGGATTGATTCGTTTTCGATCATCCAACATTAACAGACGAGCTGCAGCAAGAAAGGCTGGGCCGTTCCAGTCGCATCGATTAAAGGCGGGGAACGTTCTATTTCAATTTCAAATATCGCGGATTGGCCAACGCTAGCTGGCCTGTTCGAATGTGAAACGATAATATCACATCGGCATGACTTCCCGATGATCCGCAATTTGCATAATTCTCTCTGAGCGACTTAATTTCCGCGATCTTACTGCCGCGGAACGAAAATCCTCCCGCCAATACCGCGAGATTCCTCACGAAGATTATCGCTGTTGAAATTAGTGCCGGATTAGAGAGCTGTGCAATTATCGATCTCATGTTGCTTCAACTTTCAATATAATAATCAAAAGCGCTTTAGAGAGAGAGAGAGAGAGAGAGAGAGAATATAATGGCTCAGAAACATCTTTACAAAATGATATAAAATGACTTAGAATATGATAAAAAAATATATGCGCAATTTAAATTTGAATAAAATTAAAAAAGATAATTTGGGGCTTGAGATCGCGTATAATAATGCTTGAGTATCGGAGAGCTTGGGGTTATTTAATTTATCTATCACCACGTTGCACTAAAGATATGGCTCAAAGTAGAGTCGAAACGTACGACTTTTAATTTATATTGAATTACTAATTAAATTTTACATAACTCACGTTAACTCATGCAATTAATCGCATTTGATTCTCAAAGCCCACTTTTCTTTGTTTTACTCGTCAATTTTAATACCGAGAATTTTTAATTAATTAATTATTTGAATTCTATCGTAATCAGAATTTCATTTATATAATAAAATTCTTGTATATAATTTATTTATAAAATATATAATAATTTCAAGACACCCAGTTAACTCCGGCGAAATCTCATGGGATACCGTTCCTAAATGAATTCGACGCTTACTCCAGAAATTAGATTACTTACGTGAATTATATTACTGGCGCTCGTTTCTATTATCATAAATCAACAATTGCAAAACATCTATTAAGCAGGCGAATGCAAATTCACGATTAAATCACCGGGTTATTTGACGTACAAACGTTATAACGTGCGGAGTCGACGTATCCATCTATTATACAGCACAGATTTTCGCAAGTCTCAAAGTGCATTAACGGCGCTTATTGGGATGAATGGGGGCTAGTGTTAATATCAGCGTAAATACAGACCTGCATATCGTAATCCCACGCTTACCATTTATGTTTGCCGTGTAAGCTCGGTAACGCACTATTACGAACATTTACACGCGTAGCTTGGGGGGGTTTGATAATTCTTACGATTTTATTATTTAACGTTTATTCTTTCTAATTCTAATCGTGTAACCTAAGTAACTTTGGATAAAGAGGGCATTAGAGATATTACAGTATTTATTTTCTTTATAGTATTTTCAGGGCCTCTTTAACCATCTATTATTTCCTTCTTCTGGATAATTTTTTAGAGAATAATATTTGATGGAATTCCGACAATATTCAATTTAAATTTATCGAGATTATTTTTCTCTCTTTCTTTTATTTAAATTTTAATTAAGAATCCGTGTGTCCTCGTATTATATTTTTTGAAATGTATTTTTGCCGCTGTTTTATTTTTCTTGTAAAATTCTATAAAAGCGTAATTATAGAGATTACAGAAAAATATAGAGCCTAACTCTGAGAAAATAAACATTTTTAATTTATTCTATACGTTTTATATCGGTAGAACGCAATTTCAGTTTGCTATTCACGTTCATCGGCATTGGAATATCCTGTACACATGTGCTCGGCACATGTGCAACATACCCAAAACAAACACATATATGAACGTAAAGGATACCGATTATCGCTGTAGAAGCGTCTACGTATATTTATGACCGAATTAACCCGCGGAAATACCAAGTGCGGCGGCATAAATGTGGCCTCATAAATACGGGCGGGAACGGGTTACGTTTATATAAAATCGC